AAAAGTGTAAAACAGCTGCACTTTAAGTATTCAAAGGCGGGAGAGGGTATCTGAGCATATTAAAAATATTTAATGGCTTACTATGCGACAAAGATGGATACTGCATCTATTATCATTGATAAACAGTATTTGAAGAACAAGTTTACCATTAGATTTGATCATCACTCAGCAAATCTGCGTATTGTAGGTAATACTCTTGACTTGCCTCGGGACCGAAGAACCCAATTCAGAAAACGTTTCTCATTTTTGACACCCGATTTTTACAATAAAGTCAATAAAGTACCTGTACCTTTGAAAACTGTGTCCAGCTATAAAAGAAAAATTAAGCTCCTCGTATTTGATGACATGTAACACGTATTTTTATGTACTTTTATTTTTATATTTGTTTATTTGTGGATGTTTTCTCACTTGCCTCTTTTCATTTGTATTTGTTTTGTATACGAGTATGTTTGCTTCTAATTTATATATCTTCCTCCAGCTATTATCTTTTAATGTTATTTCTTAGCATGGTTTTTGATCTTGTTACGCACTGTGCACGTTTCTTGTTTGATCATTATTCGATGCAAAGGCTGTGCAATTTTTTTTTGTATTTGCATGTACTTGTATTTTTTAAGCGCTGGTGGTTCTAAAAAACAGCTTTTGCTGAGGTAACCCGCTAGGTAAAATAAAGGCCATTTATTATAATCATTGTTATTATTAATGCTATTATTATTATTACATCCACGGGTGCATTTTCAACGCTAAATATTAATTCAGCAAGATCATGGGTATTTTTATCATTTAACTTTTATAATGAATTTTGTAATGACTCTCTGAAATGCATACTTAGTCTAAATATACAGGGTGTCCGCAAAGTTGGGGTTTTCCTTTTCAGAAACAACTACCCTTGAAATAACAAAGGTAATGTGTAGTGAAACGAGGGCGATCAAGTAAAAAAAATAAAGGAAAAAGTACTCACTCTCCAGTTGACGAGAAGGGCTAAGTACGTCTCTGCCCGAAATCATACCACTCCAACAGAAAATGAAATCCCACGAACAGAGGTAACAAATATGACGGCGTTGCCGCGTTTTCAGTTGTTAGGTAAACGTACTTTATAGGTATTGTTCGAAGTTATCGCCGTTTGATTCAAAAACACAGGTGCGTGCACGACGTAGCCAAGCATCGGAGCAGGCTTTGAGAATGGAGTCCCTCCCCCGAATGAAAGCACCAGCTTGTTCAATTCTGAGACGAAGTTCGTCAACCGTATGCACTTCAGTTTTGTACACTAAGCGTTTCATTTCTCCCCAAAGAAAAAAGTCACATGGTGTTAAGTCTGGAGATCGCGGAGGCCACGCTACGGGTCCATTACGTCCGATCCACCTATTCGGAAATAATTCATTCAAAAACTCACGCACTTCGCGTCTAAAATGGGGCGGTGCACCATCGTGCAGAAACCACATTGATTGTCTTACACTTAATGGCACATCTTCTAACAAGGAAGGCAAAATGTTGCGTAAAAAGTCTAGGTATTGCATCCCGTCCAATCGATTTGGGAGAATAAATGGTCCAATGAGCATACCGTTCACCATGCCAGCCCAAACATTCACCGAAAATGTTTGTTGAAAATGTGCCCGACGGACAGCGTGCGGATTTTCTACTGACCAAACATGAGTGTTGCGAAAGTTATTCACCCCATTACGAGTGAACGTAGATTCGTCTGTCACCAATATGCACTTCAAAAAGTCCGGATTATTGTCATGTTGATGCAACAACCACTCACAAAACCGCACTCTTGCTGGAAAATCGTCAGGTTGAAGGGCTTGTACACGTTGGACGTGAAACGGATACAGCCCCTCTTCACGCTGCGTTTGCCACACTTTAGTTTTTGATACTTGCACTTCTCTAGCCACGTCTCTAGTGGTTGTTGAGGGATTCTCGTCTACGCGATTACCTTTACACGCGTGACCGTAACCGTCGGTTGAAGGTTGCATACTGACCTGACACACTGACCCCGACCCAGTTCTGTCGTTGGGTTGAGCCAGTGACCTTGTACCACTCGGTGATGTCGCGGGTCGCGGCTACAGGACGGTATTCAGATATTTTTGATGTTGCAGAGCCCTTTATCTCGGTTCCCTTAAGACATTGGTGTATATGGTACTAAGAAAAATTGCTTATGTTTTCAAGATCTACACGTCGTGTAAAGGAAAACCCCAACTTTGCGGACACCCTGTATAGTTATTTGTATCTTTACCTATATTTAACTCGATTATCAAACCTGTATTGCCTTTAGTTTTGTTATTGCGGTTAAAAAAATCAAAGTGCCTGTATACTTTAAGATCACAGCATCGATTAACTTATCCACCTGGTCGCAGAAAATGTTGAAAGTATGGCCCTCCACAATGTATCATGAGTCTCACTTCGGATATAGTAAAAATGTGCTTTTTTCCATCTAAAAACTTTTTTCAAAAGTAGACCATATTGTACAATATGTTATAAAAGTTGTTTGAGACCCATAAGCTGTCTATAAAAAAAAATAGATAGATTCCTTGCCTTATTTTTCAATTTTTTTTTTAATTGCCCTTATTTTTTAAAGGTCGCATACTTTTGTAATAAATGTTTATGAAGAAAATGTCGACAGTAATGCCACTGTATCCATACAACAAATTTTGTGTATTTTGTTTTCTTCAAAATTAGAGCATATTTTACAAAATTGTGAACCATAAAAGTTGTTTGTTATAGCATAAGCTAAATACAGAAAAAAATTGACGTGGAATCTTGGACTTTCGACCGTAAGTTATGATTTACAAAAAAAATTAAAGCATATTTATGTTGATGATGACAGTAATGCTCTCTGCACAGTATCATGTGTCTCGCTTCAGATTCGTGCGCTGTCAAATGGTAAAAATGTGCTTTTATCTATACAAAAAAGTAAACAATATTTTTGTCTTCAAAGTTAAGCTATATTTGACAAAACTGTGACCTACAGGTGGGTGGTTATCTGAAATTTGGTTAACTTGGAGTTAGCATGAATTTTCACAATATTAAAAAATATATATCCTATATCTGAAACTACTAAGCGATATTTTATAATCTATTTAGTTCGGTCACCAATTTTGATAAATATCATAATATTCTTTATTTCAATAAATTGACATTTTTTTCTCCAAATATCAGGCCCTAGCCATGTAAGATCTCCCAAATTTAGTATTCACGTCACTATAATCTTATTGTATTAAATAATAATTTGATGAAACTCTATTTAAATTTGTTTACTATTACATTGCTTACATTGTCATTATGATTTAATGTATAAAATAATTTTGTTTGATGACATTATTTCAAGTCAAAAAGTGTAAGCGATAAAAAATATCAGGCCCTAGTCATTTACGAAAGTCAAAAATACGCGGCGTCCAAACATATGACTTATTCATAACTCACTCAATACGGTAGCATCGGTGTGTAGTTGGTTGCAAACACGAGCCAAGCCGCGGCAGCAATTTTGCTATTAGTGTGGTAACCGACTTTGCTGCGGAAATACGTGCTGTGCCAGTCAAACTCTCAGGCCCTAGGTAAGTCGTTTTAAACATATATAATTACTCATTGATCTCATTACTTATTGAATGTATGAGCTAGGTCTGCTTTGTTATTTTGACCCCCTATTGGTTTTATAGTGATTTAAAATAATAGCTTTCATTTGATTTTGCTTCGTTTCGTCAGTCCCTAGACCGTCAGGCCCTAGTCGTAATGATGATCATACTGTGTGATGCATAGTTTTAATCATAATACCAATGTATTTGTTGCAGAATATGGCGCCTGTAAAGAAAAAAACATTGTCTAAAGAGGAAATTGCAAAAAAAAGTCTGAACAGGTAAAGAGGCGATTGGAAAAAATTAAAAATGATCCTACTTTGCTGGCGGAGTACAAAGAAAAGGAACGACTAAAATATCTAAAGAAAAAGGAAAAAGGACAACGGAAGTGTGTAAAAGACATGACTCCCCGTGAGCACAGAAAGGCAAGAAAAAATTGGGTAGCCTATTCATCTGATTATAGAAAAAAACAAAAGATTCGTGACAATACAGATAAATACGTGGACCAAAATACGCCGCCATCATCGGAAGATGAAATTATTCCTGAGGCTTCTTTATTAAATAATGAAAGAGAAGCTGAAGCTAGAAGGAGGAGTATAGTTCAACGGAGAAAAAGAAATAGTATGTTGAAGAGGAAGGACTTACTCATTGAATATTTAAAGAAGAAACTTGCCAGCGAACAACAAAGAAACAGAAGACTGAAACATAGAATGATACAAAAGAAGCAAGCACTGACACCAGAAAGTAAAATTGTAGAAATGGCCAACGACCCTAATCAAAAAGCAGAATTGATAAAAAAGCGTTATTTGGCGATATTATTCAAAGGCAAATTTTAGATAAAGAGATTCAGAAACCCAAAACAAAAACCTGCTTAAAAACGATTTTGTCAAGTTCAATGACACATAAATATAAAATATGGAGACTTGGAAACACAGCCATTACATATAAAAAGATGGGATTTAATCGTACAAAATATGAAGCTATGCGAAAAAAAAGAGAGTTGAAGAAATCATACACAAGTTTTATGAAGATGACAATAATAGTCGTTGTGCGGCAGGAAAAAAAGAGTGCATCACTCGCAGAAAAATTAAAAAACAAAAAAGATATTTGCTGGATTCCTTGAAGAACTTGCATCAAAAATTTCACAATACGAGTTTGATGAAAATTGGGTATAATTATTTTTGCAAATTGCGTCCATTTTGGGTTGTTGTGCCTAAGCTTACAGACCGTGATAACTGTGCTTGTGTTATTCATGAAAACATCAATTTGAAGTTAGGTGCCTTAAAAAATGCAAACGTTCTTGACTTTGCCACATATCAAACTGCACTGGAAACAATTTGCTGTGATAGTTACTAGGAAAAATGCTTAGCGAGAACTTGCCAGGACTGCTCATTGAAAATTTTACCATATAAGGAGTTTGATAATAGTAAGGACATGGCAGCCAAACAATGGAAGCATAGCAAGGAATTGATTAAGGACATTAAAACTAAACAGGATAGATACGTCACAAAGTATAAGAAAGAGATATGCAATTCAAAACCTCGTGATTTAGTTATGCAATTAGAAGAGAGTGATCTTACAAAATTATTCCAACATGAACAGAACATCGTTCATCAATATAAAACTATTAAATCTTTGAAAGAGTCACTTACAGAAAAGGATGCAGTAATTCACATGGACTTCTCAGAAAACTACACAACTAAATGCAACCAAGAAATTCAGTCGTATCATTTTGGCGGCTCCAGGACTCAAATTTCTTTGCATACAGTGGTGCTTTACACAAAGGATAAAGTAACATCCCATTGCACTGTGTCTTTAAATTTATCTCACAACGCTGGAGCCATTTGCGCACATTTACAGCCTATCCTCTTAGGATTGCCATCATCTGTAGAAAACCTGCATTTTTTGAGTGACGGTCCTATAACCCAATATAGAAATAAAACAATGTTTTATATTTTGGGTTGCAGAATCCAAGATTTCTATCCACTGGCTATAAAATATACGTGGAATTTCCATGAGGCGGGACATGGGAAAGGGGCACCTGATGGAATTGGAGCTACATGCAAACGCTCTGCAGACCAACTCATAGCTCAGAGAGGTGACATTACGAACTTGTACGAATTTGTAGCTGTGCTTCGAGAAAGGTGTCCAAATATAAATATCTCTGTTATCGAAGATGTCGACATAGAAAAAGTTAACAAAATGATCAAGGAACATGAGAAAGAGCAGAAACCGGTTAAAGGAACTCTCTTGGTGCATCAAGTCTCGGGTCATATTTATAACCCCAATAAACTTGTCTTGAAGTCGCTAACTTGCTTCTGTGATAATGACGGTTGTGACCATTATAGGTTGGGGACTATTACGTACCAAACCAATACACAGCGGCTTCAAGTTTCAGATATTTTCACAGATTCTGAAGATGATATGCCGTTAGCAAGTATGAGCTACATTGCACAAGAAAAGTCAAAAACGAGCTACGGCGGTGGCGATTATGTTCTAGTTAAGCTAATAATGAGGGGAAAAGAATACCGATACGCCGCAGTTTGCTCAAAATATGATGACGAAGATGGAGAACTGACAGTTACATTTCTTAAAGTTTGCAATAAAGATGGCACAGAATTTAAAATAAATGATAATGATATCGCCGACGTACCTTACGAAGACGTTATAGAAAAACTGCCAGTTCCTAATATAATCGTCAAGAGAAATACAGTCCTTCACAAATTTAAAAAACCCGTTAATGTTTACGAGAAGTAAAACAAATAGTGAAACAAATAAATAAGAGGTACTAGATAGTTTAAGTGCGAAATATTTGTGATCTCATAATAATTAATGAAAGTCTGAATGTTGTGTTCAAATTATAATTTGGTAACTCAAAACTTCAGAAAGCTGATTATTTAAAATAATTGTTAATTTTTAAAGGACTATTAGTTTGTAAGTATTAAACTCAAAGTATATTTTGATTGTTGAGAAATATTGATAGATTATTTTCAAGTGTATAATTAAGAAAATAAATCCTGTACTGTGATTATAAATCATAGAATTTGTGAACTTAAGAGATTATTTTGTTGTTACGGTTGATTTTGCAATAAAAAATGTGATTTGACATAATAACCGTGTTTGGTGTCAGTCCCTATCACTTGTCGTCAGTACCTAGAACACTGATTTTAAAAAATCATAAATTTCTCTGAAAATATCAAGTAAAGTGACTGGCCCTTTTAGATGCAGCAAAGTAGATGTTATACCTACAGCATAGAATATAAGCTGTTCTGATTTTTAACTAAAAACACCACCTTCAAAATTACATCAGAAGTTAACCAAATTTCAGATAACCACCCAGGTATAAAAGTTGTTTGTAATAGCATAAACTAAAATAATTGGAACTAATCTTTGCCTTTCGACCCAAGTTATTTTTCAAAAAATATATTTTTTAATTGCCCTTGTCTTTTAAGACCGCAAACTTTTACAATAGATGTTTATGAAAAAAACATGTAGACAGTATTGCCCTCTACAATGTGTCACGTCACTTCGAATTCGTGTTTAGTGTGCTGACAAATAGTAAAAACGTTTTTTGCATAAAAAAAGTTAAACAATATTTTTTTCTTCAAAATTATGCCATATTTTACCAAATTCTGACCCATAAAAGTAGTTTGTTATAGCATAAGCTGTTTAAAAAATTAGATCGATTGTTTGATTTTCGACCCTATAAGTTAATGATTTCTTGATTTGGGCAGGGAAAGGATATCTATGGACTAATTGTATGGACCTGTTTGACGGACAGAACTCGTTTAATTTCCTTTAAGTATACATGTTCGTAACTAACTTTTTTCTCAGGGGGTCCAACTTGAACATGCTGCTTTCGTTCCTCCAATCAAGACAGCCAACCATTGACAGCTGTTTCGTGCTTTTTGGAAACTCATCAGCATGGTCTAGGCTTGGTCTCTGAGACAACAAATGAAAGCATAGCAACTATCATCTGTCATAATGTCTATGGCACTGTCTTATTTCGATAGAGTCCAACTTGTGCTAAACATAATCGTCTATATAACGGCGTTGCGTAGCAAGTGCAGAATCAACCTACTTGACGCCATTTTTTTGTAATTCGGAATTTACAAAAATCACACATGAAAATGAAAACAGAACTTAAAACCTGTAGGTTGTCCCACAGCTGGTAAGCTTTTGGGGCACAACGCGAAAGATCAGACGATTTAGTTCAGTATTAAAAAAGAATTGGCAGTTTGAAATATAATATTTATTTTTGACCTCAAGTTCCCAAAAAATTAGTCAAGAAGTAACAGTTATGAAACTTTAGCAGCGATAGGAGGACTTTCACTGGTGTCACTTAGTTAGGTGCACATAAACCAATTTTTGGTATGCTTGAAGAGTACAAGTGATTTAAAAGTGAAATCAATTTAAAAGTGAAATGTTCACTTGGTTCAAAACTTATATGCTAAGCTGCAAATTACGACCCATGAAGGAAAAATTAATCCATGAATGTATGTTTTATAATTTTACCTCAGTTAATACTTCCTGAATTAGCCTAATCATATTAGCAAAAAAAATGTTTTCTTCGCAACAAAAGGAGATAGACACATCCCATTTGTTTCAAAATGTGTATAATAGCGTATGTTTTTCGAATATCGTAGCGCATATGTCTAATTACTCACAAATACGAAATGTTTGAATTTGTTTAGAAGAAAACAACGTAAAACTTTCTTTTTCGCACAAAAATAACATTTATCTTCCGGAATGGTTTGTCATTCATATCGGCAAGGTAAACTCGTGTATTTTGTTATAAAATGCCCATTGAACGAACACTGTATATTGCTCAATAAACAAGTAGTGATGGCCGGAAAACAGGTGTTTTTGGATAAACAATTACAAATTCTCAAAAACTACTTGACCAATCTACTCTAATTTTATTGTGCTTATTAAGAAGTACGAATCCTATGAATTTGAAGAATTTCAAGTATCTGCGTGAAGTATTGTTGTGATTACCAAGTGCTAAAACCTGCATTTTGCCTCGGTTTTCGGCCATAACTTTTTTGCTATTAGTCGGTTCTTTTTACGTGTGGTCTCAATTTGTAGGTCTCATAAATGCCTAAAAATCTTATTTGAAGAGTTTTTTCGCTCCTGCCAACACGTTCGATTGAATCCCAAAAAATGCGTTTTCTTATTATTTGTTGTCTAATAAAAAGTTTACCCACAAAAATTGGTGTACCCATTTTATGCGTCCATATTTTAAATATCCACTTGAACAACCTGCAGCAATAAAACCGGACTTTACAATTATTTCTCAAACCAGGGGTATTTTCGTCTAATATGGTTACGACTATTAGGTAGGTGGTCAATGGCCTACTATAACAAATAAGCAGTTATTGTTCCCTTATTTACTGGATAAATGAAATAAATTTTGTATTTTATCTAACTTATGAAACATTTTTTTATTGGAGAGTTGGTCATTATTTATTCAATTCAAGTTTTAATGAACTACTCTGAATGGCCCTGCAAATAGAAATTCTTTGTTTAGTACTATAGCAAATACACAAATTAATTCAGAATAAAGAAATTTAAAGAAAATAATAGTTTAATTACTTGAAAAAGTCAATTTTGTTGTGAGCTCGTATTATAATTTTAAAGTCGACGACCCAAGTCAACAAAGCTAGGCAAAATAATGACGCGAGCTACTCCCTACCGCGCCCTGGGTCCGCTGTGTGCTAATGTGAGTAGAAGGAATTTGTCATCGTATGACAATAATTACGAGCTTTTCAGAATTGAATTTCCAAAGAGAAAGGCCTCCCATGGTCCACCTACCTTAGTCTATCATTTTGTACGAGGTCATACAACGATAACTCCCGCTAATATCTACCTTTGCGATGATATCATCAGGAAATCGCCTAAACAGGAAAATTAATTTTCATTTACTGTTACTAATGAACTTGATTGGAATCGCATCGTGTGTTTATATTGAGTGCTATTTCCTGTTCTAACGCACATAATTGCTTGAACAGTTCCTTAAAAGATGTAAAATTGCACGCACACAGCACACTATACTGAAGTTAATCAGCATAATATTGGCACAGAATAGCTAATGGTCAATGTAACATCATCTGAAACTCATCCTCTGATTTTCATGGTGATATAGGGCTCACACGCCTACAATATTTTTAAATTCTATTCTAAGAGATTATTATTTTTACAAATTTAAATTAACCATTGATTAACGTATTCTACCTGAAGATAGCCAACCTAATACAATATTCGCACGTCCAAAAAAATATGAGATACCGTGGCGTAATCTGTGAGGATTATAATAGAATAGGATAATTTGCTCATATATAGTAGAGCACAGCGCCATCTATGAGACACTAATATTTTCAAAGTAGATTTCTAATTATCGTGTAGAGGAGAAAAATAGCTGTGACAAATTCTGATACATGACGCTACTGTATCTCATTTCATCTCGGATATTTTTCGGACGCGCGAATATAGTATTAAGTTGGCTTCAAGATAAATACGTTAGTCAATGACTAAACGTTATTACTTCTCCCTTTAAACTTATCTCTATCATATCCTTCAACTGGTCTTTCCTCTTTAATGGACACTCTCGGATCTCCGATGTCAGCTCCGCTATTAAAGTTCAACAAGTAGCGTGTGACGTCACCGTGTTTCCGCGGAAACATTTCCACTCGTTATTTTCCATGCTACTGTGAACTCGGATCGCGTCATTGGATGGATCTACGTCATCACGACGAGATTTCACAGCCATCAAGCCATCTCAGAGGCTTTAGGAGCTTAAAGAGCTGCCCACACGCGTTATACGAGAGAAAAATGTTTGGAAACTGCTGTGGTAAAAAATCGCAAGTCGACCAAAAAAACCCAATCAATGTGAAGTTCCTAGTAGGAAGACCTACTAATTGAGATTTAAAGCTAAAAATTTGCTGCGCAGACACTTTTTCGTATCCATTCTGGAAATTACATATACAAATTTGCTGAATTTCAAAAATGAGCGAGATAAGAAATAATTATATTCACTGTACACTGTCGAATTACAAGCTAACAGTAATTACACACAACGCGGGCGCGGTGATGATTTCCCGTAATTCTCCTCAGTTTTTGTAATTTATAACTTTGAACATAACCTCTATTCAGAAAGCACAACATACAAATAACCCATCGGGCACAGCTAATAGATTTACTTCATTGGCAGCATATTCAGTAATGATTTTCTCATA